TTCCTATCCCATGTTCTGTAAAGCATCCTGAGAAGGGATTATGTTAGCTCCTTTTTTAAAAAGATGGGTGACAAGTTAGATAAAGCAATTGGTTTTATCTTTGATATTATTTTATATCTAATATTATTCCTCTGCCAAGCTTAAGTACGCTTTATCCACTTTAATAATATGCACCCAAACACCTTGCTTTCCTCATCTAATTCATTCTGAGTGTATATATATTTAGGAATGCAAATGACATTAAAATTTATACCTTGAAAAATTCACGGTAGTGTAATCAAGACTTGCATATACAATACTTTTCAATAATAAGAATTTGATAAGAAGGGTGAAAATGCTGCCTAAAAGGACAATTCATGAGACATTAATTCAACTGAACAATGAAAAGAGGGAAAAAAAGCAAAGGGCTTATTTCCAGGTATTTTGATATTATTTTGTTTGACAATAAATTGAGGCATCACATTTTGTAAGAGCTTTATCCTAATAATTTCTTTGGTGTAATGAAACTGAATACTGGTTCAAGTGGTGGTTTTTTAGGCTGAAGAGCAACATACAATATTTAGCATGCTAGCATTCATTCATTCAATAAATATTTACTGAGTACCTCATGTGTACCAGGCATTATTATGAATATAGGATGCACAGTGGTTAGCAGGAGAGAAAAGAACATATATTCCACTCTGGGGACTTAGATAATAATGAAGAACAGTAAAATATACAAGGAAATATATCATTATAATATATGAGGAAATATATAATTCTATGAGGAAAATAAAGTCAGTGTGATAAATAAGTGACTGAAGAATAGAGTTGGTCAAGAAAATCACCTCTGAGGATGTGCAGTTTGAAGGATGAAAAGCCAGGCATGGGATGTGCTGTAGTAACAGCTTTTCAGAAATCAGGTTTATCCTTTTATCTTGCCTCTCCTCTGTGGGTTTCCCCTCCCATTCCAAGTTGATTCTGGTGCAACTTTAAGTTATGCTAAGTTACAAAAATGACCACAATAGTCTGCCACTGTGAGAGGCAGATCCTTTGAGAGGCAATACTCTGCCCCTGGAGAGAAGTCCATTTCCCTAACAATTTTATCTTGCTGGCCTTGTCACTTTGGCCAAAAGATTGTGGCAGAAGTGACCTGTGAATTCTCAGCTGAGGCCTTAAGAGATTTATGCTTTTTTGTTTTTAGAACCTTTCAATGCTGTGTGAAATTCTAGGACCAGTTGGCTGGAAGATGAAACCTTATGGAGAGTGGCCATGATCATCCTAGCTGTCATCGATAAAGTCATCATAAACCAGCTAACTCTGGCTAGCACTCCACTAATTACAGATGCATGAGTAAGCCTAGCTAAGATCAGCTGAGCCTGGCTCAGACCAGAATTGCTCAGCTGAGCCTAGCCAAAATTGCTGGCCTGGAAAAATCAAGAATTAAATAAATTGTTGTTTAAAGCCACCTAAATTTGGTAGTTGTTTGCTACACAGACTAAGTTAAATGATACATAAGCCAATCAGTCTTAGGTTTAGAGATTTTTGACTGTAGCTTTCCATCAAGTTCAGGTTCTTTAGGCTGAAGGCAACAGAAGAGATCAGTCTATACTTGCCCCCAGAGACTCCCTGGGCCATTGGGATTGTTCAGGAGTTAAACTGGCCTTCTTGAATGTCTGGATGGATGTCTGGATGGGAAGCAGGAGGCCCAATCTATAGTCAGAAAGTTGAAGAGAAGGTGAGTGATCATGTCCTTCTTCCTTCTTGCTTAATAAATGGTAAAAATGATTTTTAAAGGGTGTACTTTTTGGGAGGAGCAGAATCAAAATGAAGTAAAATTTAACAGAGAGAGCATGAGTTTTGAATATTGAAGGCCTGAGCTCACATTCCACTTCTTAAAAACACCTTACTTCTAAGCTGTGAGGCTTGTAGCAATTTACTTTATTCCTAAAACCTCAGCTTCTTGTTTGTTAAACACATATTAAAAAATTCTATGAATAAGCCTGCTAGAATGCCTGAGCTGCTTGGCTGCTCCCACTGTAGTTCTGAAATCCTTCAGTGTGGCCCTGGGCTTGTACTTCATCCTCACCCTCACCAGCAACTGTCTGGTGTGCTGGGCCTCACTGGAAGTACATGATTTTGTGGAGTTTTATTATACTGTACAAAGACTACTGTGTCATTCTTACAGCTAAGATTTGAATGCCTTGACACCTAGTCAAAGTTCATGTTTACACAAAATGAGAAATTCTTCCCAGTTATGCATCCTGTGATTAACATGAGAAACTCACTGCAGGCTGAAATCTGACATTAGAATTATAATATGAATTCAGAATTTTCCATCAAAGCAGCTAAAACTTTGCTTATGACTAGGTTAAAAAAGTCGGAAAACCTTCAGTTGAGATGCATATGCTTATTTAAATTGCTACCTTTTTTTAATCACATCTCATGAAATTAACTTTGGCATTTACCTGATGTTTATTGTACCTCATATAAAATACAAAATATAGTACAAAAAGCATACTCATGAAATAAGAATACAAGATACAAATGGAAAGTAACAACATTGTTCTTTTATGTAACATCTTTATATTCTTTTTTTGTTTGTTTGTTTTGGTACCGGGGATCGAACTCGGGTCCTTGCACATGCGCAGCAGGCTGCGAAACCACTGAGCTAAATCCCCCGCCCTGTAACATCTTTATAAAAGGATAATTTCTATTATTATAGATAGATGAGCTAGGTAAAAATACTATAGGCAGTCAGATAGGGCTAAGTCTTTGAGAGGGCTAGGACAAATGTAAAACATACTACAGCTGCACATCGGCTGAAAACCAGGCCTCAAGATGGAGACAAGATGACCAGACCCACATACTTCTTCAAAGAACTGGGCTTAGTGAAGTATAGATAGGCATCAGCCACCCTGGGGGTGACCAGAGACCTCTGGATCCACCACCTCCTAGGAGAATCCTTGTTCTTTCCATCCACACTTACTATGTGACTTACTTTCCAATTGTACCACCATTACCTAAGTGACTATACTCATAACCTTATTGGATGTTTATAGCTGTGGCCCACATTGTACCCATGTGGGTTTTACTCTATAAAACTTTTCTGTAAAATGGGGTCCTTGGCTACCCACTTGGGATCCCTCCTGCCCTTCAGGACCTTTCCTATCAATAAATATCTTCCCACTTTTAACCTCCATTGTTCCTAGAACTTATTCTTCGATTTCTAGAGAACAAGAACTAGGTGTATCATGCAGTTAACAGGTTGGGAGATATAATATTTCATATTTCATATTTCCTGTGACACTATCATTAGCCATTGGGATTATGTTTAAATAGAGTTTGAAACAATAAATGAATGCCTACTATAAAATGATAAGAGCTATAAAATCATCTTTTAAAAAGACCTCCCAAATTTAAAGACCTGATCCATAAATGGGCATCTGAAATGAACAGACATTTCTCAGACAAAGAAGTAGAAATAGCAAATAAATACATGAAAAAATGTTCAACATCACTGGTCATTTGAGAGATGCAGATGAAAACAACGCTGAGATTCCACCTCACTCCAGAAAGAATGGCTGCTATCACGAAATCAACCAATAACAAATGCTGACAGGGCTCTGGGGAAAGAGGAACCCTGCTCCACTGCTGGTGGGAGTGTAGACTGGTGCAAGCACTGTGGAAATCAGTATGGAGATACCTCAAAGAACTAGGACTGGAAGTCCCATTTGACCCAGCTATTCCACTGCTGGAGATCTTCCCCAAAGAATTAAAAGAATCATACCACAGTGATATATGTGCACCCATGTTCATAGCAGCACAGTTTGTGATAGCTAAAACTTGGAAACAGCCCAAATGCCCATCAACTGGAGACTGGGAAACGGAAAGGAAAGAAGGGAATGGAATTAATATGAGAAAATGGAAAAATTGGAACAAAATCTTTGTAAATAGGGAGGGATGGAGGGGTTGAAGGGAGGGCTGGGCAAGGGTGAAAAATAAGAACCAAGAGAGATTATGTAAAGGTGCAATGGTGAATGTCGTTATATTGTATATCTAAAATGTACCAATGGTTCGAATGAATAATCGATAATGTAAAATAGGAAGAAAAGGTCCAAAGCAGTAGGGATAGTGGGAGGGGCAGGGAAAAGGAAAGAAGGGAAAGGAAAAATGATGAGAAATGGAAAAAATGGAAATAAAGTTCTTTGTAAATAGGGAAAGGAGGCTAGGAATGGGGAAAAAATAAGAACCAAAATGCATCATGTAAAGGTACAAGTTCCCAATGAGAAATGTAATTGTGTTGTATACCTAAAATGTACCAATAAAAGAATTTTTTTTAAAAAAAGAATCCATTATTTCCCCAGGTCTGTGGTGATTAAGGACTGGAAATAGCAATCAGAATCTAGACAAAAACCCATGCCACAGGCATCTTACTAAGGAGGACCCTTCCTAAGTCAGGTTTATTGGCTCTTTTCTTCTACTATAAATTTTAGTGGTTAATTAATCCTCTAAGCTCACTGGGATAAAGAAAGTTTAAACAAAATGACTAAAAGGAGTTTTTCAAATGCATAGAGATGTTTAATGTATTTTTAGTTTTATTAAAAGCAGTCTACACTCTGATCTGAGTGGAGATGAACTTGGTCCTCAGGCACTTTAGCAGGAACCTCCCAGGTGGAGCTTCTACTGCAGGTCTTTGGGGAAGGGGCCTGGCCTAACCCCAGCCCCATGGTGCGTGAGGGAGGGAAGATGCTAGGTTCTGTTGGAGTGTAAGGCACTGCCTTCCCTAACTGTTCCTCAGAAGTCACTTCCAATTTGTACATAAAGGCAGGTACGAAAGTGCTCCCTCTGGTGAACTTTTTTCTTCCTCAGAAGCTAGGAAGCAGATCTGACCAAGGAAATAACCATGGACTTTTCCTAGAAACTCCTCACCTCTCCCTCTCTTTCTTTTTTGCTGCCCCTCCACCCTCCCTTACCACTACCCTCCCCACCCATATAACTGAATGATGAGATTGACTTACATAGTAATCCTGATCTACACCTTTCCTCCCAATCAGATGTAACTGTCCAAGAGATACCTAGCAATGATAATTTTTAAAAATGATTTTAGCAGTAATATTAACTTAAAGAAAAGAAAATATTTACTTGATAATTTTACTATAGCATGTTGGTTTAATTTGAGGCAGTTGGCATGTTTTGAAAGAAGCAGGGAAACATTCCAGACTATATATTTTATTGGGTAATTAGTTGCTATTGGGTATATGGCTTCCTCAATGGCAGGAAGCCGACCAGCTGATATACAGCAACACCCAGGCACAGGAACCTAGGGGCTCTAACACTTGGCTTGCAAAGATCACACAAATGCTGTCTCACTCCTAGGATCCTTGTAGGAGTTTATCTGTATTAAACCCAGCAATAGATATTGCATTTTTTCTGTAATTAAAGTCCAAGATTTTAAAAATTAATGTCTCAGGAAGAAATTTTTTAAAAAAAACTTGCCATTACTATGGTAACTCACTCTCCAATAAGCTGAAGGAACTGCAAAACAGGAGGAGAGCAAAGAAGAGAATGTCTCTTCCTTTTCCCTTTCAAGGTGGAGCATTGTTAGTTACTCTTGCTCCCCGAAGAACCAAGAACCCTTGTAACTTGCACGTTTTAATAATTCAATCACATCTGTATACATTACTTGTATCTGAACATCTCCTCTTTCTGCCAAAAATTTATAGTATTGGTATATGTCCCAATCCAAGATCTCACTGTTAGAACTCAAATTTTCAAGTCTCTCAGTTAGTCTCACTTTTCCCACTGGAATGCCTTCATTTTTTTCCAATTTGTCTGCAACTGTGAATAGAAACAAGCCAGAGAATAACTAGAAAATACAGGCTGCAAGAGATAGTGGTCAACTTAGAGGAAACATTCAGGCTTATTCCACTTAAATCTGCAGAAATTTGTTCTAGTAACAGAGAGGGAAGATCCATAGAGGATAGAAATTTGTGATTTTTGTTTATTTAATTTTAAGAAAAGAGCAAGAAACCTAGTTGTTCTTTGCAAACCATATAGATATTATTCATATCTAGTAGACTGTCCTCAATATCTTAGCCAAGGAGATTCAAGGAAAGAGGTATTAGAAGCAGATAATTGACCCCCTTATCAGTGACTTTTTCTAGGACTGAGACTACAACATAAGAATAAGTGCTCCCTAGTTATTTCTTATAGATAGTCTAAAATAAATATGCTTGAATATTCCTAATAAACTGCAATTTAAAATATAGACATAGTAATTCCAGATTCTTTAAGCATATTAAATGATCTTGTGAGGCATCTTAAATTCAAAAGTAGGTTTTTTTCCTCCTTTTCTCAGATCCCTTTAGTGCCACAGGTATACGTTTATGTTTTATTCTGATTATAGAAATTAAACAAGTTGACTTTATTCACTTCTTGGAAGACTTTTATTTAAAGCTCTATCATATAATCTGCTTCAGTGATGTAATATAAAATGTTACACACAACTTTGGGAGTGATCCTAGGAACATTTTTTAGCCTTATGCTCTATGTTTTGTAGACAAATAATAGGGCAATAGAATAATGACCTCCTGGATTGTTCTCAGGTACAGTGATAGATCTTTCCAAGGTATGTACCTTATATTCATTCCATTAGAAAATTTAACAAACTATCTCATATTTTAAATGTTAGATTTATGGGAAGTACTTAATTTTTGTTGGTTCTACATTGCAAGAACAAGTAAAATAGAAATGTTTGGGATATATAGTAAGAAAAATAAAACATCAATATAATAATTTAAGACTTTTTGAAAAATAATGAACAGAAACTCTACATTGTACTAAAAGAAATGCATTACAGTAGATTTTAAAAATAGAGACTTAATATTACCACAACTTTATGTCATCTAGTATTGATTTAAAAAATTTATTGTTAAGGCTTTTTTTTTCTGTTTGTATTTTTGACAGTGCTAAGGATTGAACCCAGAGTTTTGCATGTGCTAGGCAAATACTCTCTCACTGGAATATCCACTACCAACACCAAGTTTGTTTATTAAAATAAATTATGAAGATGACTTACTATAATCTGCCACTTTCTTGTAGTGATTTAGGGCAATTTCACAATCCTGTAGAACGTTGATTCCTGAAAAATATCTGTACCCCTAAAATGTAAGTATATATATTCTTAATATTCAGATAATGCTTTTAAATAATATATCTGTTATGGTGCAAGATTATTTAATTTACAAACCAAAATCATCTGGGACATCATACTTCCTCCAGCACTTCCAAAGGTATAATATATCAGTGCCTAAAATTTAAAAATATAAAATTATTTTTGTTATCTAGATTTGAAAGTCAAGCCAACTATTGCTTTTTTTTGCCTCTACCCCATCAATGAATCTTATTATATTTTATTTTATTAGTACCTGTTTGCAGTACTTAATGATGATTTTCATCACTGGGAGTTGGTACATGTGCATAACGCATCTTAATTCTCTCTTTTCCATCTTTTCTCCTCTCTCCCCCTCCCTCCATCTCTTGATACCCTTCCCTTTTGCAAAACAATCTATCTCCATTTCCTATTGTCTATTTTGCTCTATAATTTATTTATATTTTTGGTTTCTCATATAAGAAAAATCATGTGATTTGTTTTGTTTTGTGACAGGGTCTCACTATATAGTTCAAGCTGGCCTTGAACTCACTGTGTATCCCAAGCTGGCCTTGAACCCATGGCAGTCTTCCTGTGTCAGCCCCCAGAGTGCTGGGATTACAGGCTTGCACCACCATGCCTGGCTATCATGTCATAGTTAAGCTTATGTGTCTGCTTTATTTCACTTAACATTACGGTCTGAAGATGTATCCATTTTACCACAAATGACTCAGGTTTATCCTTCTTTATGGCAGAGTGGTACTCCGTTCCATACAAATAATACATTTTCTTTATTCATTCATTTGTTGATGGACATACAGACCACTTCCAAGATTTAGCTATTATGAGTTGTGCTGCAGTAAACATGGAATTGCATGTATCACTGTACTATGATGTAGTAACTCTTTTGGAAAGAGACCAGAAGTATAATAGCCCAGCAATGAATATTAAAATACTCCAAAATAAATTCCAAATTTTACTCTGTTCTCTTAAGAAAGCTGCCACTTATTGGGGAGTTACCAGACTGTGGATTCTGTGAAAAAGGCATTTTAGGGCATTTCATTGCCCTAAAATTCCAGTATGATAGGTATTACCTACCTTCAAACAAGAATCTGAAATAAGAGATTTTAAGAAATTGGAAGTAGAAGAATACTAAATTTCTGTGTTGAGTTGGTGCTTTTAATCACCACAATACAGTAAGCCCCTTTACTTGAAGAATAGGTTCTATTCATTGTCATTTTTAAGGGAACCAGTTTTGTTCCAGAAAAAAATTAGAATTGACTTTACCTTGGCTTGATCATACTCCATTCCTATTCCATAAGAAGACAAAAATCCTAATGCCTAAAGTGCAAAAGAAAAAAGTGAAACTCAAATCAATTTATTTCACAATTTTTCTTATCTGTAGTGATAAACAACATTTTAAATATTTGATCCATAATAATTTGCATTGTTAATTTATTTCTTATACCATAACAAACTGCTTCTGTTAAGATTGAAAGAATCTGGGAAAGGTCACAGTAGTGAGTGAATTATATATATGAATATAGCCTGATTCTTACTGTAGTTTAAAATAAAATTTAATAATATAGCATTAAAAATCACTGATTTTTATGTGTTTTCCTCTATTGAAAATAAAAGACTTTTCTTCATTCTTTTAAAAATTGAATTTGTATTTTTTATTCATACTTTAAAAAATAAAGTAGAATTGATACAAAATTTTCAAAGTAAGAAATCTATTGACTATAAAGTGGAAGCTTGATCACAGAGCGAGATGGCAGAACAGGAAGCCCCAGACTCGTCTACCAACAGAAACATGATATGGATCAAAAAGGCCTTTCAGAGAAGTGCAGAAACCAGCCAAGAAGTCAGCACATCAGGGTGAAGTCACAAACTGAGAACAGAAATAGTAAAGTCCAGAGAGAGTTTCCAAACTTATAATGGTTTGACCTATGATTTTCCAGCTTTATGGTGGTGTGAAAGCAATATGCATTCAGTGGAAAGTATATTTTGAAGTTTGATCTTTTCCTTGGCCAGAAATATGTGCTACAATACTTTCTTGGGAAGCTGAATAGTGGCAGGCAGCTGTGGCTCCCAGCCAGCCATGTAAGCACCAGCCTAAACAATCAACCTGCTTTGGAGTGTTGTGTTGCTAAACTATAATTTCAGTAGGTGATGTATATTAAATCTATTTTCAGTTTGTAATATTTTCAACTTTTCATAGGTTTATTGGGGTGTACTGTCTCTCAAATTCATTTCTTCCAGAGCCTTTCTGCAATGAGCCTCTCTCAATCCTTAGCTGAACCATTGCAATACTTTCCAGGCTTGTTCCCTTTCTGTCCATTTTTCTTCTACCCAGTACTATTACCACTTCCATCTACCATCATTAAACCATTATATTTTTTCATCTAGTTCCTGAGAAAGACACAAAACTTTGACAAATGTTTAAAATCAAATCAAAATATATCAAGAACTGATAGGGCTGGGATTTAGTTCAGTGGTTTCGCCGCCTGCTGCGCAAGCACAAGGACCTGAGTTCGATCCCAGGTACCAAAAAAAAAAAAAAGAACTGACAATTCAATCAACTTAGCAAATGAGTAAATTTCTTAAACTTTTAATTACAATTTCAAGGGCAAAGAACTATGTCACTTTTTAAATTAGTAAATTAACTGCAGAGTTCCCATTCCAAAAGCATAATAGCTCTAACTTATGGATTTAAGTGTAACTTACATAATTTATATCTTATCTAAACTAATCCATATACTGAAAAAAACCTTCTATGATTCTGCAAATTTGTCATTAGTTTGAAAGGTTGCCTTTTAAGGAAAGTTAACCATAAAGGCTGTTATTAGAAATGGAAGGCACCTGCAATCCTGGTACTCCTCTAATTCTTGTAATGTACTGTGTATTTAAAATGGCTAAATTGGCTCTTTTTAAGGACATCACTAGCAAAGATTAAATTTTTTTATTTTTCTTGCAAATCTTGGCAATTTTTGATTCTGCTTAATTTAGAGTCTGGTTCAGTTATGTGGAAATTTTGACAGTAAACAAATACACTGACCTTTATATAACAAAATAAAGATACTGTTCTATTCAGTTGGGCTTGTACTTTATGACACTTTTACCAACACTGTATCATTTTGTGTGGAACCTAGCACACTTTTTGATCAGATTCTCCTGGAAAAATATGTGAGCCCATGTAGTCGTGAAGTGGATTGTGTGGAAGTTAAAATTCTATTCAACTGGGGGCTAAAGAGTTCACTCTAAAAAGTAAAGCCTGCTGGGAGTGGTGGCACACTCATGCCATCCCAGCCTGGGGAGGCAGAGGCAGGAGATCGCCTCGAGTTTGAGGCTAGCCCGGGCTATGTAGTGAGTTCAGGCCCAGCCTGAACTACAAAGCAAGACCCTGTCTCAAAACAAAACAAAACAAGTAAAGCTAAAATTATGAGCTTTTACTAGCTCCGAATAACCAAACCACAGACATACTTCACCTCTCTTTAGCACAAAAATAACAATGAGTAATTTTGAATTAATTCACTAGAGGGCTCAACTTTCACTTTATTTTCATTTGTTTATGCTGCTTAAAGCATACCAAGACACTAGAGGAAGTCAAAAGGTGTTAGCTAGAGGCTGTCATGCAGTAAAATATGCAGTAAAATATTGTCAGCACCCTCTTATTCCTTTAAACTTGGCCATTGTCATTTTACAACTTTACAATCAGCAATTTTTAGTGTTCAGTCTTTTTCTGAATTAAGAGTGAGGTAAAATGAGATGGATTATGGAATGATTAAATCTTAATGCAGTAAAGAGAAATGCTGTGAGAAAAAAGAGAATTTACAAAATAGTGATGACATCCATGACATTTTCAGTGGTTTTAAAGGTCAAGGTCTGTAATTGGATTGTTCTTAAGAGTCCATTCTGAACTGAACCATTGTGCTATGGCATTTAAGGAAGCATTATAGGAGCTGGGATTTGAATAGAAAGAGTTAAGAATATTTTATTCTAGATAAATTACTAGGTTCCATAATAACAATTTTAAAAATATTCCTCTTTTTGCTTTTTATATTAGAAATTATTAAAAGAGAAAAAAGATTAAGCGATTCCCCTTAATTACTCTATGAGACCTGAAAGTGCCTGAAATTATTACTTTTAGCTCAAATTGCACTCCAAACAAAAGTGCAAATCAACCCTAATAAGCAACTTAGATACTCTCTGCACTCCTGCTACAAAAAGGGCATTGACATCTGAAGAAATACCCCACACAGGTAATCCTAAAATTATCAAAGTGATCATTAGTTGATACTAAAACTAATTTTTTCAATAGTATCATAGTGCTAATAACTATAGTTCATGTATGAAATGTTTTGTTTTGTTTTGTTTTGGTACCAGGGGTCGAACTCGTGTCCTTCCGCTTGCGAGGCAAGCGGTGGAACCACTGAGCTAAATCCCTGGCCCATGTATGAAATGTTTTAATAATTCAAATTTGAAATAAAGAATATGTGGAAGCCAGGCATGGTGTCATATGCCTGTAATGCCAGCACTCTGGGAAGCTGAGGCAGAAGGCTAGCAAGTTCAAGCCCAGCCAGGGCAACTTAGTGATTTTGTGAGACCTTGTCTCAAAAAATAAAAGGGCTAGGAATGTAACTTATCACAAAGCCCTTGGGTTTAATCCCCAGGACTAGAAAAAAATGTATGGAATCTTTGCCTTTGAGATAGTATTATCCTAGAATCACAAAGCATGGTAAAATATGCAGTATCTCATATTTTTCTCCTTTACATGTCAATTATAATATTTTACATAATAGAATGGGTTTTTTTATAACCCATAGTAAAACTGTTTTGAACTATGTAACCAAAGAAATGCATGCATCAAAGTTCAATGTTTTTATAGCAAAGGCAGAACATACTTATGAATAGAAGATTTTGAGAAAAATATCCCAGAAAAGTATGTAAAAAATAAATAGCACAAAATACTACCAATTAGAGATAACAATTAATTTAAACATTAAGGATATTACAGTGTGAATGATCTGTTTCTTGATCTGAAGCAAATGAGATTTAATTCTACTTTCCTGTTTGGCAGAGTAACAAATTCCCTATTGAGAACAGTTTGTCAATCTCAAGAAAAGAGTGAATCTTTCTAATTCTGAATTTCTCTAAGTGAGAAACAAAGGAATAAAAGATTGTAGCTTCTCTACTTCCAGCGCGGTGAAATTCAATATCTTACAGGATATATTCTAGGGTACGAACATTTGAACCTTTCTCAATTTCCACCATTTTTGTGAAGGCTAAAATTGTTTTCACTATTTAGAAGGCACAGATTCTTTGAAAATCAATTCAATTGACCTTACATGCTATTGCTCTTATGAGGATTTCCTTCAGTTTATTTGGATTTTTTGCTGGGTGAACTATTCAAAGTATATGAAAAGAAATAATTATGCTTCCTTTCCTCCATCCTGCTTGCCTTTGTACAATAGAGTGAAATTGCATTTCTCCCATCTCCTTAGTGCCACAGTGTAAAATGAATTCTTATACAGACAGAGATCCCCATTTTACAGATGAAGAAATCGAGACTCAGAAAGGGCAAGTCACAGAGGGCCTGTATTGCAGCTGATATATACAGTAGGGACTGACAAAGCTGTTGAGACTAAAGTAGTTACACAACAGTATTCATTAATGTTCTTTAGCATTTTGTAAGGGCTCTTGAAGATATTATTCAGTTCTTACAGCAACTTTGTGAAAAATTGTGGACATTATTATCAGTCCTTTTTTAGTTTTGGGGAATCTGAGGTTTGAAGAAGCAACCTCTTCAGGGATGCTGAAATAATGGACAAAAGATGGACAAGCTAGTGAGTTGTAGATCTGGTATGGTCAAACTTTCTGTTTTGGGAAACCTCAATGTTCTTCCTTACCATCCCACTCTGACACCTGTAACTAGGCATTTCCCAGAACACGGTCCCAACAACGCCTGCTTTTCTCCAAAAAGGTGGTGGCGGCAATACACAGCTAGTGTATTAGAGTTGTTCCTTCTGACATTAGGATAGTACTCAGCCAATTACATTTTTCCTTCTGATTTTCCTTAAAGCCAATGGCAAAAGATTCGATTAGAGGGTTGTCTGTGGATATCCAGTAACCATGATAACTACAGTAATGCTAACTAGATGAAACTGACTACAAATAACCACATTAACTAAAATAACTAAATAGAGGTATTAACCACGTAAAGCAGAGTTAAACTTTGACTCCAGCTCTAAACCCATGTGTTTTATGTACTATTTGCATTAATTTGGAATTTCTCTTCTGAGACTAATGTTTTGACTTTGTAGGAAATGCTTCATTTAGATACAGACAAGTAACATCTTTGGCATTGCATTTATCCAGTATTCTAGACAGAATACATGTCATTTTTTCCTTACAGTGTTCTTTAATTTCTGTGTCAGTTACTTTTCTCTCATTGCTGAGACAAAATACCTGACACTGAAAGTTAAAGGGGGAAAGGTTTATTTGACAGTTCATAGAGGTTTCAGTCTGTAATTGGCTGGCTCCAAAGCAGGGTGGCAGAGGGCCAACAGTTCATGGCAGTAGAAGACAGTGAAAGCAACAAGAGAGTTTGACAGAAAATTTCTGCCCCTTTTATCTTACTCAAACTACTGGAATTAGGGTTGTGCCAAACCAATCACTCCCAGTCAGTCATGTGTAGTGGTTTAGTAATCACATGCCCTTAATCCCAGCATCATACACTCTAGATTCAGCGACCTCCAAAATAGCCCCACCTCATTTGCATGTAGTTTTGAGGGGACATCTAAACATAAGCCATAACACTTGGTCTAAGCAGAACTAATCAGACTCTCTTCTATGCCTGTCTTAGTTACTTTTTGCATTGCTGAGACAAAAAACCCCAACACCCAAAGTTAAAGGAGGAAAGGTTTATTTTGGCTCACAGTTTGTAGAGGTTTCAGTCCATAGTTGGCCGACTCTAAGACATGGTAGTATGGCAGAGGAGCATCACAGAGAAAATAAAATTCATGGTGGGCAGAAGGCAGTAAAGCAGCAAAGAAACAGCAGCAGCCATCTTTCCGTCCCTTATATTCCACCCAAGCTACCCATTCTTAGGGCATCAAACAATTAAATCCCATAATCACACACCCTATAACCAGACACCTGTGTAAAGTCCCACCTATCACTACATGAGGCTTTGGGGGGACATCTAGGTACAAGCTAGAACAGCCTGCCTCTGGCCTGCACATCTCTTTTTGCAAAAGGCATTTAACCTATCTCTAAGAGTTGCCAATGTCCTAACAATTTAAGCATTGCTGAAAAGTCCATATCCAAAGACTGCTCTGAGGTTTAAGGCAAATTCTTAGCTGTGAGCCCCTGTACAAATGAAAAGAAAGTTGAATACATTCAACATATAATGGCACAAAATGAACAGCCATTCCAAAAGGTACAAATAGGGGGATAGAAAGGAAGAGGACCAAAGCAAGTCCAAAATCCAGCAGTACAAGCATTAAGTCCTATGGTTCCATGTCCAGCATCTGGTGCAATCTGTGGCAAGATGTGAACTCCAAAGGGCTTGGGTGGCTCCGCCCCTATGGCACTGCCAGTGGTGGTAGCTCCCATGGCTTCTCTCTCGCTAGCTCTGCTCATTCCATGCAGTTTTTCTCAGACAATCCATGTTCCTGGTTTCTCCAACCTTCTGGGTTTTCCACTGCACCTTTGGCTTCATACTCACAGCTTCACACACTGCCCTCCCAGAGGCACACGATCTGGCCTCCCAGGCCTTCTTCTGAAATCTGAGTGGAAACCTCCCTGACTCCACAGTTTGTATTCTGCATGCACCTAAAACCAGCACCACATGGATGATGCCAAGGTCTGGCACTGACTGGAGCAGCAGCCAGGATTTCTTCTCTCTTGGCTGTAGGGGGTCAAGTGCCTGGATTGCTGAGCACTAGTAACCAAATCCTGAGGAAACACTGCCTCTATTCTATGTTTCTTTGGGGCTTTCTTCTCAGAGAGAAGCCTTTTGCCTTCACAATTTTGAGGCTGCAAAGGCTGGAGTCCTGCTTCTTCTTGTGATTTCCTCAGGCCATCTTTTCTATTGTCTTGTTCCTTCTCAGCAACCAAGTTCTCCTCTTCTCCATGTTTGCAGTCCTCAGCTTTACCAGAGATTCTTTTCTGGCCAAACTCAAAACATCTTCAATCATTCTGTTGGTCATTTTGCTTGATTCTCCACATAAATCTGGCTAAAGGACCTCAACAGTAGCCATGCCACAGCCTCAACATTAGACTGCCTTGAAATTTCTGCAAGCAGTGAAGCAGCAGAAGCAGCAAGCCTTCTTTCTCTCCCTTATATTCCATCCAGGCTAACCACCTTTTGGGTGGGTAGCATACATACACAGAATGGAGAACCCTTAATTGCAGCATCACATTCTTAATCCCAGCATCACATACCCTAGATCCAGCCACCTCTGAAAAACCCCACTGATGGTCACATGAGGCTTTGAGGGGACATCTAGATATGAATCATAACCACATAAAGTAGAGCTAAACTTTGAATTCAACTCTAAATCCATGTGTTTTATGTACTCTTTGTATTAATTTAGAATTTCTCTTCTCAGACTAATATTTTGACTTTGTAGAAAATGCTTTATTTAGATATAGACAAGTAACATCTTTGGTATTGCCTTTATCCAATATTCTAGACTGAATACAAATGCCATTGTTTCTTTCAAGTGTTCTTTACTTGCTCTAGGCAGAACTAGTCAGACTGTCTTCTATGCCTACAGCACTTTATACATGCCTTAACTGAGGTGTAGTGGATATTGACTTAATTAATTTATATACCAACTGAAAAATAAAATACACAATCACTAGTTTGAAAAGGAATTAGGTAATATCATTTTTCAGTGGTTAAAATGATGATAACATTTAGTTTGTCTTAGAACTTTGTATCTTTGGTTAGCCAAATACAGGAACAGGTTTAACAATTCTCATGTTTTATAATAACATTTATAAATCAGCTTATTGAGTTATTTCATGTTATTGCAAGAAAAATTTTCTGGAGTAAAAACAGTATTCAACAAAATAAATTAATTAAGACTGTATGGATCTTTAAGTTGATCATGTTGATCTGTATGTATTTATATGGAAAGATATCTATGAAAACTGTTAAGTAAATAAAGAACAAATTAAGGAGTAGCAAATAAATATTATCTCATTTTTATAAAAAATTCTATAAACTCATAAGAAAAATTCTAGAAGACTAATAGTGGGAGCATGGTAACAATATTATTTATATCTTCCATCTAACTGTAGCTTTGTGTCCTTTTCCCATACCCACCCTTCCCACCATTCTCCTTTTATTAAGTGAGTGATTACCATGTTACAGGTATAAAACACAATGTCCTCACACATTATTTTAATCCTCACAATAACTTCATTAAGTCATTCATCATTAATTATGCTCTAATTTATATTTCTTATCCCAGACACTGTGCTAAATATTAGAGATATACCAATGAACCAGACACAGTACCCAATATTTTACCATTATCTTCACCTTACAGATGATGATCAGAGAGCCTCTTCTGGTTCAGCTCAACATACAGATTCACAGGACCCCCATAGATTGCATTTGCCTGTTGTCTATTCAGCTGGATTGAACACAAAAACCACAGTCCAGCAGGGCAGCATCAGCCTTCCTTTCTGCGGGAGTTCTTAGAGAAGGTCACACAATCCTCCAGGAGCCACTGTCTTGGAGCCGTCAGCAGGTGACTCAGATGCAAGGAGATGTGAAAGCCACGATTTTGTAAAAGCTTCATTCCCCATGAACAATTCCACAGGTATAGCACACAGTGTCCCCATAGGAAGTACTATCACTCCCGTGTTTATAATTCATTACAAAGGCAATTTGCTAATCAGCAGCCATTTTTATCACAAGCAATGCTAGCTAAAAACATAGTTAGCATTTTTTTCCTATCAGATTTCCTGGGAACAGAGCTAGAGAGTGATCCAAAGATCAAATTCTCATACAAAACAAGGGGAAAATGTTTTGTTAAGGAGCTCATCCAATAAGAATGACACAGTGTATTCAAACTTAGTTCTGTCTGATTCCAAAGCGAAGTTTTTGCATTTTATTGGAAGGTAACAAAAAAGATTTCTGTGTAGAAAACTTTCAGATTACTTTCCTTTTTACCCTTTCCAAATTCTCAGATTTTTTTTGGTTAAAGGCCATGAATTTCTTTTGTAATAATTTTTTTCATAAAAAGACTATAATAGCAATCAAACATGCTTTTGCTACAGCATTCAGCAAAAGTAGCCAGAAACAAAATGATATATGCACTTGAATTGTAATTAGGATGATATAAAGAGAGACATACAGAGAAGGAAGCCAAGTAAAAATACAAAGCAGACCTCACAGAAGCTGAGTTAGAATGACTGGCTTGTGAAGGGCTTTTTTTCTGTTTTCCAGATTTTCTATGAAATGGTTATGTTATTTGTGGAATAAAATGAAATACATTTATTGAAACAGGGGAATATATTTAGATATTTGAAGTGTAAAAATCAGACAAACCTGACACCCTAAGATAATAGATTAGTTTCGTATATCTTCTTATAGGTGAATACATTCTATACAAATTTAACTATGTTAGGGGTTCAAAGGTATTAAATGATCTCAACACACATGTGGATATGAAAGATAGGCAGGTGGATTAGAGAGCAGTTCCGTTCTGTTGCTGAAAGTCGCCTATAGAGCTAGAACAATTCACTCTGGGCTCATGCTGTGTCCCTGCTCTGACACCACAATATCCATTCATTACGGTAACCTCCCTAGGTTTGGGTTCATGCAGTAGGGTGTGAATACTATCGTTCAACTCTTTTTTATATATTATTTGTCTGTAGTTATTTGAAGATGTAGCTATTAAAGCTTTTATTTTCTTTCACAACTCACGTTTTGGGCTTTATATGATCCTTCCTTAGCCAAGAACTCATATAATTGGATAGCTGCTGTTATGTTTTGCAGGCCAAAATTTCCAAATAGCAAAGCGTCAGCCATCTTCTCCATAGCTTTCAAATTTCCCATATCAGTTGTTTTGGCAAAAAGCATGTAGGCTCTGTTTCAAGAATATAAAGTCAGAAGGTTGATTTACAAAAGTAAATTTTCCTGCTCCTTCCTTCATGAGTCTTCTCTCTTAGAAGTTGGACACAGGTGTCACTAAAGTTTAGCTGGAGTCCGTCACATCTCTGGGTTAGTATATTTCTTTCATCTCTGGAGCAGTCTAAGATTATTACTTCAAAATACCTAACAAATAATGAGCCCACTAAAAAGGAAAAATATAGAGGGTGTACCATGCTGTAAGCTTGTATACCTAGTGAATTTCAAAACTGAGACACATCTTAAAATAGGGAACTCTCCTATGCCCAGTCCCATTATTTAAAAGTGCTTGTTTCATAAAATTCTGAAAATATAAGAATAATCAAAATTGCAATGTTACATCTAAGAAGTTTATATCATGAGAATGATGATATACTCATACTCCAAAATAATTTTCTGAAACAGGACCTATTCTTCACCAAACATACTGTTTGGAAAATGAAAAAATGAGCAAACCATTAATGGCTAGGCCTCTAGAGGCTGGCTGCCTGGGTTCAAACCCTGGCTCCACCACTTATTAGTTAGAAAATTTCAGTCAAGTTATTTAACCTCTCTGTGCCTCCTTCAGCTATAAAATGGGGATAATAGTAGCACTTATTTGATAGGGTTTCTGTGAAGATTAAATGAGATAATCCCTGTGATGTGCTTGGCAGAGTGCCCGGTGCAGATTAAGCACTCAATAAATTTAGCTATTACTATTGGAACTATTATACTGATTCTAAAGTTTTATAGCATATAGTAATTGTTCTGAAATTAGGTGGTAAATGGTGTGAAAATTTGGTGATTAAGAATATAGGTGTTGCAGGAGTACCTTACACTGTATATTTTGAGTCCAAATCAAAAGTCACCTGGATCTGCTCTGGGTAACAAGTAGTGATGGAGAGTTTCACAAGGTCAAACCATGTGTCAGAGACAAAAAGTACTTTGGGGATTTATTTTTGCTTTTAGAACTTCCCTTTTTGGTAGTGGCAATACCAGAAAGCATTAACTGCTATCCGTGACCTTGACTCAAATAATACTCAAGTATAAAAAAATACACACACACATTTGCCATTGCTTCTAACTCAGAATAATCAGGAGACTCAATTTCATATAGAGCCTAGCCTATACATACTGATACTAAAATAATCTGCTCTTGGGCAAAGGCTGGAGTAGAATAGACTGCACAAGAAAGATTTCAGTCAGAGAGGTAAGCATTAGAGTCCTGGGTTCCAACATGGACTCTAGTGGAACAAAAAGACATAGAAAACAGAAATCCAAGCTTAGATCAGTGCCTTAATTCTGCATTTCACTTAATATAAAAGAACCCCAATCTCACACGTAATTCTCTTATTTGTTTAGGATGATAATTTAAACACCCATTGATCTTGTTAAAAACAAAAACGTATATGCAAATAAGTTTATTTGCTATCCTAATGAGCTTTTAGTGACAAATTAGATCTTTTAAAAAAATTTTCAGACAGGGTCTTCCTATGCAGTTCAGGTGGGCCTTGAACTTACTATGTAATCCCAGGCTGGTCTCAAACTTTCTGTGATCCTCCTGTCTCAGCATCCTAAGTGCTGGGATTATAGGTGTGCACCATCATGCCCAACTTTGAATTTTTTTTCTTAACCTGGAAACAAAATTTGGCTAAAGAAACTAAATCAAGATTTACTCTGCTTTTTGTTTTTGGCTTTTAGACTCCTGGAGAATCTTCATGCCCATCTTAAATAGCTCATCTCTTTCATCTGTGAAATTTTTCTTTACTTGCTCTTTCACTGTGTGTAAAAAAATAAAGAAAATAAACTATTATTTGTTCTATTTTTTTAAATGTGCTGATATTTCATTAGCATTATCAGAATTTTGTGTGTGTGTTTTTTTAAGATCCGCATTTCAGAAAGATCATTTGGTATTACTCTCTACCTCAGGAGCATTTGGAGGGCAGAAGGCAGAAGCTGCCTTTAAAAAGTAACTTCTGTTTTGTGAAAGGTCTGGGGAGTGGAAGACAAAGAAATACTTCTAAGGTGAAAAGGAGAGAGATGTTCCCAGCCTCCCAGGGTTCTGCAAGCAAAACGCAGTGCTATGGTTTAGATCCAAAATGTCCCCCAAAAGACTCGTGTTTAGAGGTTAGGCTTTTGGGAGTGATTGGATTGTGGGGGCACTATACTCATCAATGTATTAATCCAGTAAGGAGTTCATAGTGGAAGGTAATGTTAGGAGATGGGGCCTGGTTGGAAGGGGCCAGTCACTGGGAGTGTGACCTGGAAGGGTGTATTCTCTGCTTCTCTCTCTCTGCTTCCTGACTGCCATGGTTTGAACAGCTTTCCTCCTCCATGCTGTTCCACCATGCCATTTTTGCCTTGCAGCCAGCTTACTATGGACTAAACCCACTGAAACCATGAGCCAAAATAAACCTCTCCTTTTAGCCACAGGTGTTGGAAATTTCCTCTCAGAGATGGAAAAGTGACTTATACCTGCTGTACTCTAGAGGCAAGATCTTAGGCATCATGTTCTCAGTCCTGGTGGTTAATGTCTCCCTTATTAGAGCATGGTTGATAAATTTTAATGCCATACAGTTCCAAAAGGTCAGGAGCACAGGTTTCTCCAAGATGAAAGGTGTGCACCTAGCAGTAGAGGAAGCATTCTTTAAAGATTTCCTCTGTGGGCTGGGGATTTAGCTCAGTGGTACTGTACCTGCCTCACAAGCATAAGGTCCTGAGTTCAATTCCCAGAACTGCAAAAAAATTTTTTTTCTCTGCCTAGGACTTCTCACCAACCTTACAAACTTCCTCAGACTTTGGTGAAGATACACAGCCTGCCAATAATAACTGGTCTTCTAGGGTGGGGAGGTAGAATCAATTTTATAGTATTTAAGGAAATATAAAGACATTGAATTTTTCCTGCTACAATAATATTTCTTAAGCACTTACATAACATTTCACAAATTTTAAGACATTGTTACGAGTTTATCAATGGGGAAAGCTGGTTGGAAGAAAAGTCAGACTTACAGCTCTTTCCCTCAACACACACACACAGACACACACACACACACACACACACACACACTGCCTTTCAAGATATCACAGTGTCTCTTGAAGTTGAATATAACACTCAGTAAAATCTCTGATTAAAACAGTGCCTAAAGTCATTTCAAAGGAAAGGCATTTGGGATTTGATGCCTCCTTAACAAGACCACAAAGAACTTTAAATGGTTCTTATTTTTCTTCTTTCTGACAGGTTGAGTTGTCAGCTTGCTTTTGTAAGTTAAAAAAATTAATTTAAAAGCCAATTTAAAATTATTTTCAATGCTTCAAGTTATTCAGTCAATTTAGAAACACCAGAAATTTTAGCATCTAATCTCTGCTTTGAGTTATATGTTATCTGTACTCATGATTAAAATGGGAAACTAATAGGAAAAACCTAATCTGTGTGTGGAGTAGCAATTGCTCCCATTATCATGCTTTCAGAAGTGTGAGAATTTTGAAAGTTTGACTTTCTGCGAATATACATATCAGAAATACCATTGCAATTGACCATTGCAAATTCCTGTCCATAGCTTTACTTTTTATACATAGTTCTTTTTTTCCTTGGCTTCCCAAATACATTGAATTACAATTTTTTTTTACTGTTAAGTAAACTCAATCATCAGATAAAGACATCTTGATGATTCTTTAATTTATTACATATAGTTTGACGATGTCCAAATTTGGAGAAGCAGTTAGGAAATATTTTGAGATCATTTTGGACTTGACAGAAAGGCCCTTCCTGAGTCTAGAATTCTCTGAATAGTCAGCCACTGGATGCCTGTTCTGCTCAGAGAGGAGCTTGACCCTTACTTGAGGAAAGTGTCCAGGGAATGAATCTCAGGAATGAAAGAGGGGAATAATTGTACCAGATGTCTGTTCAAAATGGCAGCAAGATGGTTTGTTGGTCCTGAATTTCCTCAGTTATTCTTTGTCATGGAAGTAGTTTATTTCTCCATTGATTTTGAAAGATAGTTCTGCGGGGTACATCAATCTGAGTTGGAGGTTGTTTTCTTTTAGGGGTTGAAATATTTCACTCCAGGCTCTCCTTGCTGTAAGTTTGTGTTGAGAAGTCTGTTGTGATTCTGATGGGCTTTCCTTTATAGATGATTTGTTCCTTTTCTTTAACAGCTTTTAATATTCTGCTCTTATGCTGAATTTCTGGAATCTTGACTATTACATGCCTTGGTGTGGATTTATTTTGATTATGACTAATATCAAGAAATCAACCAACAACAAATGCTGGTGGGGCTGTGGGGAAAAAGGAACTCTTCTCCACAGTTGGTGGGAGTGTAGACTGGTGCAACCACTGTGGAAATCAGTGTGGAGATTCCTCAAAAAACTAGAATTAGAGGTCCCATTTGACCCACCTATTCTTCTTCTGGATATCTTCCCGAAGAGAAAAAAAAGCATCATACCACAGTGATGTATGTACACCCATGTTTATAGCAACACAGTTTGTAATAGTTAAATCTTGGAAATAATCCAAATGCCCATCAACCGATGAATGGATGAAAAAGATGTGGTTTTTCTGTACAGTGGAGTACTATTCAGCCATAAAGAAGGATAAATGGGAGACGTTTATAGCTAAATGAATGCACCTTGAAGCTATACTCTTAAGTGAAATAAGTCAGACACACACATGTAAATATTGCATTGTCTCTCTGGTATAAGAAATTGAAAGTGTATATAGGGACCAAAATGTATAATAGATAATGTGAAATAGGGAAAAATTGTTCAAAGAAAAGGGGAACTAGGGAGGGGGGAGGAGGGAAGAAAGGAAGGAAAAAGGAAAAAATGAGGAAGGAAAAAATGGAAATGGGGCTTTTGTAAAGAGGGAGGGAAAGAGGGGTTGAAAGAAGGGGAGGAGAATGGGAAAGAAAAGGGGACTCAAGATACATCATGTACAGGTAAAAATTCCCTTATGATGAATGTGATCATTACATATATATCTAAATTGTACCAATAAAATTAAAATAATTTAAAAAATAATGATGGCAGGAAACACAGAAAATGCTCCAATGAGATGAGTTTATAATTCAATGTTTGTCACTGATATAATTTGTGGAAAGTTCTTAATGTTTTCTGACTGCCTCATTATCATTACTGTGTCTTGCTTAGATGCTGTTATGGCCTGAATTGTGCTCCCCCCAAATCCATTATGTTGAAGTCCCAATCCTCAGTATCTTAGAATATAACTGTATTTGGAGATAAAGTCTTTAAACAGACAATTCCCATGCAAGACGGCTTAGAGAGGGCCCACTGTCCTTCTCAACAGTGTAATCTGGCCTGAATAAACACTTGTCTTCACTCTTATCCTTGCCTTAGTCACTTTCTTCATTATTGAGACACAGTATCTGACACCCACAATTTAAAAGTGGAGAGGTTTATTTTGTTTCATGGTTATAGTCCCTGGTTGGCTGGTTCCAAGGCAAAACAACATGATGAACAGGTCTGATGGAGGAAAGCTGCTCTCAATATGGCAACCAGGACACAGAGAGTGATGGGAGGAGTGGGGGAGGGAGATAAAACCCTCCAAGTTATGCCCCTAGTGACCCACCTTTAACCAGGCCTCACCTCCTACCAGCACACTCAGCTGCTGAACTCATCAGACAATAAATCCACTGAGGAATATAGTGCCTGCATGATCCAATCAGTTTCCAATAGCTCCACCTCTGAGCATGAGAGTTTTGAGGGACATTCTAGATCTAGAGATTACATTAAAAAGCGAGGCCATTAGGATGGGCCCCTAATCTAATATTACTGGTATCCTTTTAAGAAGAGAAAGACCCTGTGAGGACATAGCAAGAGGGTGGCCATGTACAAGCCTTCCAACACCTTGATCTTGGACTTTTGGCCTTCAGAACTATGAGAAAATAAATGATTTCTGTTGAGTCAGATATTTTGTTATGACATCTTCAGGACACCAATTGAGATTCTCACTCTGGAATTTATGGGAAAAAAATCTTCCTCTGCTCTCTATGGGAAGGGACACACCAAACTCAGCCTCCCATTAGATCAGGAGCTGCCATCTAAATGCAGAAGGGACTTTAATTTCCCATGAGCTCCCCAAATCTCCAAGTGCTAGACGTCTGGCTTTGTCAGACAACTAGATGCCCAATAGCCCAACCCTGACAAAGCTTCTCTTTCATGATTATGCTCTAAATAGGCAGGATAGCAGGTAGACTTTCTATGTGTCCAGCAAGCCCTGGATGCAGTTCAACTTTCTATAGGATGAAGGGAGCATTGGAATCTGTGACTTCTCTTGCTAAAACTTCAATGGTGAATTTTCCTAATGAAGTATATTCCTTCATTCATACTACTGTCATGGTGGAATTCAGGAAGAATTTTCTTGTTCACTAACCACTTACCAGTCCAATTATTTAAATACAAATATGCGCTGCCTGAGTGGTACCTGGGGTAAACTGTTAAGTGGTTAATCTCTAGAAGCAAATCTGGACACACTTGCTTGTTTCAGACTTAATGAGAAAAGGGAGTGCTGGGGACAACTTGTTCTCTTGTCATTTATTACTTATTTATTCACTTAATAAATTTTATATTGGACACTTACAATGCGTTAGACATAGTTCCGGGTATTGTGATTTTTATTTGTTTATGGGTACCGGGATCGAACTTGGGACCTTGCGCTTAGTGAGGCAGGCGCTGGAACCACTGAGCTAAATCCCCAGCCCACAGGTATGGTGCTTTGTTGGGAGCCATTCTACATAATTTTGGGGAAAAATAATTTCACCTGG